GATGCAGCAATAACGTTCCTTCCAGATGTGCCTTCAGGTCGGAGCGACGATGCGTCCCATCATCAGATCATCTGACCCGCTTCCTGTCCTTCCTTCCCCGTTGGGTCGCTGTGGTTCTGGATCAGGTTCTGATTGGTCCGGTTCTTGTGCTCCTCCCCCTGAGGACTGACCGGTTCTGGAAACACTCTGGGTTCTGACGTGGTTCTGATGTCGGTCTCCTCGGTACCACAGAACCTCCATGCTTTAGGAAGCGGCGCCGGCCGGGTAGCGAAGCATTTGGACCTGATGTGTTCTGGGCCGCCTGGTTCTTGTCCTCCATCTTGGCGGTCCAGAACCAGCGACCCAGATGTTCCATCGCCGTCCCATAAACACGCCTTTCGTTTCGTTTGGTTCAGATTCATCTAATCTCAGCTCTGAATGTATGGTTGCCATGGGAACAGCGGGTTTTGGTCGCCCCCTCCCTCCGGATGAACACATTAATCTGTATCTAGGCGTATAATCTCTGTAGAAACGAGCGTAGATCTGCGGCTCCTTGGTCCAATCAGACGTCCGAAGCGTCTTCCTCCCAGTGCTTCCAGTTCAGCGGTCCCAGCGGTGACTGGGAGCCACTGGGGGCCTCCCAGCTGTAAATAGGCTTCCTGGCTCATCCTGAAGACGTATTTATTTTAGCTTCTTCCTGTGAAACGTTTGGTTTTGGTTTCTAGTTAATTTGCATGTTTTCCTCCTTTTTCTCCTTTTAATTTAAGAAATATATTTTTTTTGACGGTTTCTATCGTTTCGATGCCTTTTAGACGAAGCGGCGTCGTCCTGCTTTATGCAAACATGAACGGGTCGACCTGGCCGGCTGCAGCAGCCATTATTTCATCCACTGCACTGTTAACGGTCACAGATATGCTTTTCTAACATTTTAACACTTATGATTATTCATACTTTGTATAACTTTATTGCAATAAATCAAATGAAATCTGTAACGTTTCTGTTTTCTTTAGCTGTGCTTCATTAAACCACATCTAGAACAGAACCGCTGTTTGTTTCATTATGGATCCATCTTTGTTCATGGAAGGAGAACGTCTGAGGGGCCCGGCCCCCGCGGGGCCCCCACACTCACATGTAAACACAGGAAAAGGTTCAGAGTAGAATCAGTGATTCTGATGGAAATCATTTATTTAGTAAAACAGGAACAATGATGACGGTGAGACAAACGCAGAGCAGCACAACAACTAAGGGAAGGATTCTAGAAAGTCGTTTTCTACGCTGCTCTGCCTCTTTCCTCTTGAGCAGGGAGTCGAATCCTGGAGTGTAGAGGTCCTCAAGCCAGAAGTCCAGATCCTTTGCACTTTTTTCATCCTGTATTTGCAAAAAAAAAAGAAAACAGCAAAAATCATGACTTTAAGATTTCTTGTTTTTTTTTTATGGAATATTTTCTGTAATTAAAGAAGGAAACAGAAACTTTGGGCAAAGGGATTGATTATAAGGAGAAAAAACTGCTACAGGTGATTGCTGAGGCAGAGACGTTTCATCCGGAACAGTTGGTCTTTTATTTTTTTTTTTATATTGTACGTTTTGTTTAGTTCACTCGTACCTCCGTCTCTTGCTGCTGTGGGCGAACAGCTGCTGCACCAAACTGCAGCCATCATCCATAAACAGCTGGCAGGGTTTGATTAAATCAGGCTTCCTGAAGGTCGGTCCTGCAGGGTTTAGGTTCCCCTGCTTTAGCACAGCTGATTATGATGACTGCAGTTCAGCAAAAGCCTGTTAAGGAGCTTTCAATTAAAATCAGCTGTGCTGGAGGAAGGAGACCTCTAAAAGCTGCAGGACCCACTTTGGGGATGCCTGGATTAAATGATGCAAAAAGTATTTTACTTTATTTTTATATAGTGTCCTCTCAGGCAGTGTGGAAATAAGAATCGTCTTAATGCCAGAAAGAGTCCAACAGATTTTATTCTTCAAGTGAAGCGTTATTGTTGTGGCTATAGAGCTCTGCTCGAGTTCTATGGAAATAGTTTCATTAGCAGGTCTAGATGGAATTATTCAGGTTATTTAGACGCTGCATTGAAAAATAGGAGAGAAATGAGAAGGAAGACAGAAGAGATGCTGACTAAACTTCATCAGCTGTAAAGAGCTGAAAGAAACAGAACAACTGATATAGAACTACAGATATAGATACAGCAACCCCTTGATACCATCACTGAAGTATATACAGTTAATATGAAATGAAGTGTCCATGATGCCCTACATCAGGGCCCCCCAGAGGCCCCCGTAGGGCCGATACCTGGCCATGCAGCCGCCCTGAGGAGCCCCAACATTTTTCAGCTGGATTCATTCATAGATGCAATAATTAAGTTCAGGATCAGCAAACACTCTTCAGTTCTGTCCCGGCTGTCAGCTGGCCTCATTTAAAATAACCACCAACATGGCGGCTGTATCTGACAATAACACTGAGCGACAGCGGCGCCGGGTGCAGGACTTCACCCTGCAATCAAAGGGTTGTCGGTTCGAGCCCCGGCTCCAGCTTTTAGTGTCAGCCTGTCCTTGGGCAAGGCAGTGTGCTAGCTCACCACCATGATGTGTGTGTGAATGACAAGGTGGTTTAAACTGCTTTGGTAAATTCCTCAGATATGAAACAGCCTGGCTGTTCGCCTGGGGTCTGTTTCAATTCTATTCAGTCTATTTCTATAGCTCCAATTCACATCATATCATCTCAGGTCACTTTCCAGTTCACCAGATCATCCA